CACGAGCGCGCGCAGGCACATTGTATACATGACATAATATATAATAGGAAGGCAGAGAGACATACAGGAAGTAGAGGAATGGACCCTCAGTTCTCCCGCCGCCCACGTTCGCCGCTTCACCCTTCATGATATGCCTGATTTAATTATTTGTTCAACAGAGAGCTCAACTATAACCTTCTGAGCCACTTGGCTGACGGATATGATCATCCGCCATGGGCCTCAAGTCCCTCGTGTTTTAGTCTGTCAATGGTGATTCTCTCTATCTCCTCCTCCTCTTTCTCCCTCTCTCTCTCTCCTCTCTACTCTCCTCTCTCCTCTGCTTCGTCTTCTCTGCTATCTCTCTCTCACTCATCTACTCTCAATCATCTCATCTCTCTCTCCTCTGGTGGGCTGGCTTTCTCTCTCTTGTCTCTCTCTCATCTCATTTCTCTTCTACTATCCTCTGTCTTGCGATACTAGCCCTATACTTCTCTCTCTGCTCTGGTCTGTATAGCTTTGATAGTTTTGTAGTATTAATATCAACTATAGTATAATTGAGCTAATAAGTATATATACAGGTCTGTGCTCAGTTCGATGGATAATAGTTCACTAACTGTTTAGGTATATATATTTTAGTGTAATTAACGTATTATTATATAGTGTCCAGCTCCCCTTTGTGACTCTCCGAAGTACCCACACCACAACAATTAGGATCCTCGCAAAAAAATTAAAGACCCTATTAGAAACAGGCTTCAAGACAACGAAATTGAGAATTACATCACAAAAGCAGTACAATGTAAGAAATGAACGAAAAATAGGAAATGTCCATGTTATTTTCACACTTCTCCACAGCGGCATTTCCTCTCTCTTGCTAAATTTCACTGGCAATTACTCCAGGCACGTGTTCTCACAAGCATCGTGCTTGGTCTTTCTTGCATTAGACAATCGGTAGACCGTGCGTATTCTCCAATACTTGCTTTTGGTTCCAGGAGCGAGTTTATGACGGACCCATGTGCCTGGAGGCCATTCGCTCTTCTGACTTTCCTGGAGTCTGACAGCCGTGAGGATACGTAACTACTCACCCCTACCAAGGTATGTAATCTGTATTCCGTATGAGCTTCAGTGCCTGCTGCAAGCACGTGATCATGAACATTTCTGAAAATTTCTTGAATAATAAATATGCCTACGTCACAGGTTGTCTCAAGAGGCGAAAGCCTTAGGTCCTCGCTGGTGTGTCCCATGGAATGATGTACGATGACAGGGAACGGGCTTAATTAGTTTCTAGGGCGCTTTGTTCTTCATTGCTAAAATGCAGATTTGCTTGAGCCACGCGATCTCTGTGCGGAATTAGTGTTTCTTTTCAATAGGACTCTTTGTGACGGGCGTGTTCTAACAGCGTCTCTCTCTCGCGCCTCTCTCTCCGGCTGTACTTTATGGCGGTCTCTGTCTGTGTTTGTCGTTTCTTCTCTCTCAATATTAATTTTAGAATTTCTATCTCTCTTCTCTCATCTCATCTCTTTTTCTCATTCTCCGAGTTCAGTCGTTGTGCTCTCTATCTCTTAAAGCAGCCCACGACGGCCTTTACAATGACTCAAACGCCTCAGAAAGATTGGGCGAAACCTTGTATGGTACACTGGCAGTGTTAGATGCCTCGTGATTACTGCAAGTCCATCGTCTTGTCTTTCTTCCTCTCCCCCCTCTCTCTCTCTCTCTCCTTCTCTCTCCCTCTTCTTCTCTCTTCTCTCCTCTCTCTTCTCATCTCTCTTCTCTCTTCTCCCCTCTTCCGCATCTCTCCTCTCTCCTCTCCCCTGCCTTCTTTATTTCTCCCTCCGTGTGTTCCTCCCTCGTGACCACCCCCACTCTCTCTTCCTTCTTTCGTCTTCTCTGCTACTCCTCTCACCAAATCTATTCTATAAAACCCCCCATTAATATGCATTATGATTGTCGCACCGTTGCTGCTGTTACGCGGGGCGGTCCTTGGGAGGCGAAGGAGGAGCGCATCAGACACACGGACAGCCACCCCAGGAATGTCTCGTCGGTCGTCGGTGTTTTCTTCCGGAGGACTGGAACGTCATCCCCAGAAGCCCCATTTGTTGATGACTCGGCTTGTGATGACTACGCGCTCCAAGTGGTTTATTAAGGAGATGGAGGCGGGGAGCAGGCCAAGCCGTCCGAGTGAGGAGGGATCGCCGTAGAAGGGGTCCAATTTGAGCTTCTTTGAGGTTCGCTTTGCCTTTGGACTCGGGATGTCTCGTCGAGGAGAAGAAGGGGAAGCCAAAGGTGTGGCTTCTTTTGGAACCTTCCCGCGCGTCGAGTCGCTTTTCATCATTTGAAATGAATCCCTAAAACCGGCGATTGTTTTGCGTTCGTTTCTCGTCGTCTGTGAATGTCAACTTCGTCTTTTTTTCTTTCTTTTTTTTTTTAACTTGTCTATTCTAGAGCAACGGTAACATTCCAACCTCCTTTGGAATGTTTTCCACCCCCTCTCGCACGAAATATTAAAAAGTCTACGCGCTCATCGTAACCAAAGAAGGAAAAATATGAAAAAAAAGCGAAAAAGAAAAAATGTTTCTCGGAGGACGCTTCACAAATCACAGACAACTGGTATGTTGTTGACGCTCCCTTGCCAGAGGGCTCGGTCAAAAGCGCCATTGATACGAGGTCTATATAAGCACTTATTTAGACCTTGCTAATGCAAGAGGTCGATTGTGCTGTCAAGGCGCGCGTGTAGCTTACAGGCCCTTCAGTGTGGCATTTACTTATTTTCATTCTCTCTCTATCTCTCATCCTCTCTCTTCTTCTACTCTCTTCGTCTCTCTACTGTCTCCTCTCTCTCTCTCTCTCTGTGTCTCCTCTCTCTCTCTCTCTGCGTCTCCCACTCTCACTCTCTCTCCTACACTCTCACTATCTACTCTCACTTCACTTCTACTCTCTCTCTCTCTATCTCTCTCTCTCTCTACATTCCTCTCTCTCTCTCTCTCTCTCTCTCTCTGTCCTATTCTCTCTCTTTCTTTCTCTCTCGTGCTCTTTCTCTCTCTAATCCTCTATCTCTCTCCTTCTCTCTCTCTCTCTCTCTCTCTCTCTCTCTCTGCTCTCTCTCTCGGTCTCTCTCCTCTCTCTCTCTCTCTCTCTCTCTCTCTCTCTCTTCTCTCTCTCTTTTCTTTTCTTCTTCTCCCTCCCTCCCTCCTCCCTCTCTTTCCTCTCTTTTCTCCCTGTCCCCTCCTTCCCTTCCCAAAACCTCTTACCATCTGCATAATTACCTAAAAAAAATCGTTTCACTGATATTGTCTCGCTGATAAGAACCCTCCAAGTCGTTATCATCTCGGCGGAAAGGCCCGGGCAGCATAAACCATCCTCGCCCTCCCCTATGCTGAGCCCTGGCTGGTTGATGGCATTGCTGGTCCCCTGCCTGAGCGCCGCTGAGGGAGGGAAGGATATGTAGAGTGGGTTGTAGGATAATTCTTTGGGGTGGCTGGTTGCTTTGCCTCCCTTTCTTTGCTTCAGGTTGTTGGTACCTGAGTGAGTGCTGGTACCAATTACTTTCATCTCCTCCTCCCTTTCCTCCCCTCACACCTTTGGCCACATTTCCTTCATCCTCCTTCTACCACCCTTCCCTCCCTCTTTAATCACCCTCCCCTCCCTTTAACTCACCTCTCCCCCTTTGCCCACATACCAAATACCTTCATCTCCCTCTCCCTTTCATCCCCTCCCCCTTTTAACTACATTTCCTCCTCCTACCCTTTCACCACCCTCCCCCTCACCCTCCCCTCCACTTCCCTTTTAATCACCCTCCCCTCCCTTCCCTTTTATCACCTCTCCCTCCCCCCCTTTTAATCACCCTCTCCCCTTTTTAATCACCCTCCCTCCCCCCTTCTAATCACCTCCCCTCCTCTCCCCTTTTAATCTCCCTCCCCTCCCCACCCTTTACCCACTCTCCCCTCCCCCTTAAACCCCTATATTAAATTCCAGGTTATTATTAGATAACAGAATCCGACCAACTTACAGGGTGGTTGCATTTGCATAGTCAGCTCCAGCTCCAATATTGTTATGTTATTTTCTGCGTGGTATAAGAATACTAATTGATCTGCTTGTTTATTCTAAGTAACTGTTCTTTTATGTCCGTATGACAAGGATGTAAAGTGTTCTTTGAGAAAATTGTATGTGATTCTACTATTCAAAGGCTGTGGTGGTATACGAGTACTAATTAACCTGACATGTATTTTCTGTATATTATGTTTTGTTACTCGCGCATGATAGAGGTAGAGAATACCTTTTGTAACAATGGCATTAAATTTTGCCGGGCATATTGTGATATAAGAATATATAACGACCTTTATTTTTGCTACATATATTCCATCCTGTTTTGTAAAAAAAAAGGAATTATATAAATATATATATATATATATATATATATATATATATATATATATATATATATATATATATATATATATATATAATATATATATATATATATATATATATATATATATATATACATATAATATATATATATATATATATATATATATATATATATATATATATATATATTATATGTATTACAATTTGTGTCGCTGAATCTATATCACAATGATGATGTTTAATTTCCTTGCTCTTGTATAATGCCAAGACCGAAAATAACCTTTCGTGCAATTAAGGTTTACCAAACATATGCTATGCAGTGGTACATTCAATTTGCATACTGTGTGACATTTTATACGTAAAGGACATAAATTTAATCAAGATTCATGGGTGATGAGATCATACTTACGTAACAGTAAATACATTATATAGCATGCTGTGTGCGTAGGAAAATAGTGATATTTGCTTACGATTTCAGTAAACTAAATTTCTGTTGACATACTTATTACATGGCATCCTCTCTGCTTTATGAAGGACGAAAATCAACAGAAACTGGCTCATTAGAAGGTTTTTTCTTCTGGCTCTTCTACTCTTCCTCCTTCTCTTTTTCTTCTTTTTTCTCCTCCCCCTCCTTCACCTCTCCTCCTCCTCTTCCTATTCTTCTTCTTCTTCTTCCTCCTTTTCCTCCTGCTCCTTCTCCTCTTCCTTCTCTACCTCCTTCTCCTCCTCCTCCTTCTTCGTCTTCTTCTTCTTCTTTTTCTCCTCATCCTTCTTCTTCTTTTTCTCCTCCTCTTTCTTCATCTTCTTTTTCTCCTCCTCCTCCTTCCTGTTCCTCCTCTTCCCCTCCACCTCCTCCTACTTCTCCTCCCCCTCCTTCTTCCTCTCCTTCTCCAATTCTTCCTTCTTCTTCTTCTGCATTTTGGTCGTCTTGGTAGATCTTATGCATATACAGATATATGTATCACCTCCATTTATATTTTCTATGACATACAGTATATAGAAACTGCAGATGTGAACGCCTGATATTAATCTACATTCCTTTGACATTTTGTATGTAGAATATTTATTATGATATAAAATGTGTAAACGTTAAAAGTACTTTTTTTTCCGTGGATATTTCTTTCGAAGAATATTTATCAATAAAGTTTTTATATAAGGATTATTTTTTTCGCGAATTTTTAAAAAAGAATGTTTATCGACAAATATTCACATTCTACAGAATATTGTATCCGATGTAAGAACGACAAAACTAAACCAAATTTGTGTATCGATTTTTTTTTTTTTATCATTTTTTGTATATTTGAAATATTGATCATAAAAAAATATGTGTATCGTACGAAGATTTATCATAAGTTTAATAGTATTTATAATATTTATCATAATATAATAAAAAAACTAAATCTTTGTGTCGTAAAAAGGTTTATCAAAATTCTGATAATGTTTATGATATCCATAATAAAAAAGCGAACAAGATCAGTGTATCGTAAGCGTAATGTATTCATCACATTCCTTAAAACCAAGTAGCTGTTGTTTTTATCTGTTATAATAACGTCTATAAAACAAACAAAACATTCGAAAAAGGTTAAAAAAAAAAGGCTTTAAAATCGTCTTAGGCCTCCCTAATGAAGAAGTCTTACGTCAGGCGAAAAGTCCACTCGTGCAGATGGATATCCGACGAATATGAAATTGAGACTGATTCTACCCTGGCTACGTGTACGAGACTGAACACCCCCCCCCTTCTATTCCCTTGCTTTATCCTCTATCTTATCCACTTCTATCCTCGCATTCTCTGTTATTTTTCTTTTGTCCGCTCATTCTCTATCCCTTTTCTTCTATCCGCTCATTCTCTATCCCTTTTCTTCTGCCCTCTTATTTTCTGTCCCCTTCTTCCATCCCCCTCTTTCTCTATTTCATCTTGCTCTCTTCCAATCATCTATTTCCTCTTTTTTTTTTCTTTTCTTCTTACGTCGTTTATCTTGTCCTTTTCCCCCTTTCCTCTCCTCCCGTCTCTACCACCTTCCCCTTCACTATTTTTTTCTTCTTCTTCCCCTTCTTCTTCTTCTCCTCCTCCTCCTCCTCCTCTCCTCTCCTTCCTCCTTCTCTTCTTTCTTCTTCTTCTTCTTCTTCTTCTTCTTCTTCTTCTTCTTTTTCTTCTTCTTCTTCTCTTCTCTTCTTCTCCTCCTCCTCCTCCTCCTCCTCCTCCTCCTCCTCCTCCTCCTCCTCCTTCTACTACTTCTTCTTCTTCTACCTAGTTCCCCCCATTCCCTTCCTCTTTTCTCCCCATTTCTTGCATCTCTCCCTCTTCTCTCCTTCTGTGGTCTCTTGTTCCATCCTTTACCTCTCCCCTCCCCACTCTCCCTGTATCATCCTACCCCTCCCTTCCTTTCCTCTCTTCTGTTCCCTTCCCATCTCTCATGCCTCCTTCATCAATTCCCCTTCTTTATTCTCACTCTGCTCGCCTCCCTCCCGCCTCCTATCCTCCTTACTCTCTCTCCTTCCCTCCTGATATGCTCCTCCCTCCCTTCTTCGCATTTGCTATCCTCCTCCCTCCTCCTCCCTGACCCCTCTCCCTCCTCCCTCCCTCCTCCCTCCTACTCCCTGACCCCTCCTAACACTCCCTCCCTCCTCCCTCACCCTCCACTCCCTATCCCCATTCCCCACACCCTCCTGCACACGAATGTAAACAACTTTAATTAAAAGTAAGAGGCCACATGCTTAGTAGAATCTCTGTACAGACCCCTTTAAAAAAGAAGAAAAAAATATTATACCATAAACAGCAAGTTTTATGACGAAACAAACATCCCTGTTGCACATTAATTTTCCTCTTCCCGCTTCCCGCTTTCTCTCATAGGAACCTGGACGGCAACCCGCTTCAGGTTCTAGAAGTTTCCACGCTCTCGGCTCTGCCCAGCCTAGCGTCGCTGTAAGTATTATGGTATGGAATGATGCAGTCCTGTGGAGAAGGGGGGAAGGTAGGGAGGAGGGAGGAAGAGAGGGCAGAGAGAGGAGGAGGTAGAGAGGAGAGGGAGGAGGAGGAGAAGGGAGGAGGAGAGGGTAGAGAGGAGGAAGGGAGAGAGAGGAGAGGGAGGGAGAGAAGGAGAGAGAGAGGAGGGAGATAGAGAGAAGGAGAGGGAGGAGGCAGAGAGAAGGAGGTGGTAGAGAGGAGAGAGAAGGGGAAAGAGAGAGGAAGGAGAGAGGAGAAGAGAAGGAGAAAGGGAGAGAAAGTGAGGGGAGGAGAAGGTGAGAGAGTGAGAGAAGGTGAGAGAGTGAGGAAAGAAGAGAGGGAGAGGGAAAGTGAGAGAGAGAAAGAGAGAGAGAGAGAGTGAGACCGTATATAGAAAGAGAGAGCGTGGGAAGAAAGAGAGATGCAACTCGCACAAAAGAGAAAAGAGAAGAAACACACAGCAGAAAGCGAACACAAGGAACATAATCTCACACGAAAAAGACACCGAAGAAAAAACACACACACACACACAACAGAAACAGAAACAAACAAATAACAACAAAAAAACACCACACACACACCACAAACATCAAAACAAAACAGAAAACGTCTGCTCATCCCACATCACATCCAAATAACCCAAATAACCTTCCACTCTCCTCCAGAAAAGAAGATCGCCCAACTAATAACTCTTTTCCTTCCCTTTCCCCCTCCTCTCCTCCTCCTCCTCCTTCCCTTTCCCCCCTCTCCCTTCCCTCTCCCTCCTCCCTTCCCTTTCCCCCTGTTCCTCCTCCCTTCCCCTCTCCTCCCCCTTCTCCTTCCCCCCTGTTCCTCCTCCCCCTCCCTCTCTCCCTCCTCCTCCTCCTCCCTTCCTTTTTCCCCCTCCTCCTCCCCCTTATCCTTTCCACCTCCCCCTTCCCCATCCCTTTTCCCCCTTCTCCTCCCCCCTTCCCCTTCCCCCACAGACGCCTGACGGAGATGGACCTTCAGGAGGACGTCTTGGTCAACATCTCCAACGGACTAGGACTTCAGACGGCGCCCAATCTCTCCCACATGTGAGTCCTTATTGACGTAACGAAGGATTCCTGGTGGTCCTTTGGTGTGGATTGCGGATGAGAAGGATCTGTTTATGTTGGTGTGGATATTAGTGGCTTGGCTGTGTAGATCTGGATATTAGTGGATTGACTGTGTAGATTTGGATATTGGCGGATTAAGAGATAGAAAGGTTCTCGGTGGATCTTTGGATGTGAAGGATCTGGTTATGTTGGTGTGGATATTAGTCAGTTGGCTGTAGATTTGGATATTCGTGGATTGAGAGATAGAAGGATTTTTGATGGATCTTGGGATGTGTGGGTATTAGGGGGCTGATTTTACAGATGGGGATACTAGTGGACTGATTGTGTGGGTGTGGTTAAGAAGGATCTGGTTCTGTAGGTGAGGATGTTGGTGGGTTGTCAATGTGAGTTGTCTAGTGATGCAGATGTTTCTTGGTGGATTGGTTTTACAAATGTGGATATTAATATACTGATTATGCAGATGTGGATACTAATGGATTGATTATTTAGGTCTGATTATGTATATGGATATTCATGGATTGATCAAAGAGATGTGGATATGAATGATCTTTTTATATAGGTAGACTAGTTCTATAGATGTTTGTACTGAGGGTTTGACTATATATATGTATATATATATATATATATATATATATATATATATATATATATATATATATATATATATATATATATATATGTGTGTGTGTGTGTGTGTGTGTGTGTGTGTGTGTGTGTGTGTGTGTGTGTGTATGTATGTGTGTGTGTGTGTGTGTGTGTGTGTGTGTGTGTGTGTGTGTGTGTGTGTGTGTGTGTGTGTGTGTGTGTGTGTGTGTGTGTGTGTGTGTGTGTGTTGTGTGTGTGTGTACCGCTGCATAGCTGATATATATATATATATATATATATATATATATATATATATATATATATATATATATATATATGTATGTATGTATGTATGTATGTATATGTATATCTATATATATATATATCTATATATATATATATATATATTATATATTATATATATATATATATATATATAATATATATATATATATATTTATATATATTATATATATATATATATATATATATATATATCTACATATATATGTATATGTGTATATATATATTATATATATATGTATATAATATGTATGTATGTATAATGTATGTATATAAAATAACAAAAGTAAAAGTGATGTGTGTATATAATATTTAGCAAACATATAAACACATATACATTCATAGATTATTTCTCTCTCAAACCGATTTAGAAATGATATTGATTTCCCTCCCAGATACACGTTAAGGTTCCGGTATTGTGGCCACTTCCCCACCGTTCCCGACTGCCACCCCAAGACAGACGGTAAGTAGGTTTTATGATTTGACAACATTTCTATTAAATTTAGTTTCTTCGTTCACTGCCCTTGGTTCAAGTTTGACCGTGTTCAGTTCATTAGGATCCATTAAGGGTTGTGATACAGCCAGCTGCATTTGCTCCTGGGAACTCGTCTGACATATGCCGTGTAAGTGAAATGTGGGTTGCAAACACCGTAGAGTTGTGTCAACACTAGCTTCGAACTTTTGTAATTATTTACAAGGTAATTCTGCTTCATATTATATATTAATTTTTTGTTTATCGGTCTTATTGTTTACCTATATGAGTATGTTTATTTATCATCTATTTATATTTATTATTTATTATTATTATTTTATATTTTTTTATTATTTATTATTTTATATTATTATCTATCAATTATCATTTATTATATTATCTTAGTGTTCATGTTTACCTATTTTAATTATTTGTTATAACTATTATTTTATTTGATTTAATTATTTTATTATTGTTATTATTATCATTATTATTATTATTGAATTATCATTATCCCATATTATTATCCCTCCTTTTTTCGTATTCAGGTGTATCGTCCTTCGAACACTTACTCGTAAGGGTGGAACTTCGTGTAGCTGTGTGGCTTGTGGCGTTCCTCACCCTGCTAGGTAACGTGACCGTGCTCGGGGGGCGGGGCTTAGCGAGGGGAGATAACAAGTTGCTCTCGCTCTTCATAAGGAATCTCGCCGGTAGGTGCTGTTGCTGTGTCTTTCTTTCAGTTCCTCTCTCTTCTTTCTTTCTTTCATCTCTCTCTCTCTTCTTTTTTCTTTCTTTCCATCTTTCTCTCTCTCTCTCTCTCCTCTCTCTCTCTTCCTCTTTCTTACTTTCTTTCTTTTCCATCTCTCTCTATCTTTTCTTTCTTTCCTCTCTCTCTCTCTTTCTTCTTTCTCTCTCTCTTCTTCTCTCATCTCTCTCTCTCTCTCTCTCTCTCCTCTCTCTCTCTCTCTCTCTCTCTCTCTCCCTCTCTCTCTTCTCTCTCTCTCCTCTCCCTCTCCCTCTCCTCTCCCTCTCCTCTCCCTCTCCCTCACCCTCTCTCTCCCTCTCCCTCTCCCTCTCCCTCTCCTCTCCCTCCCTCTCCTCTCTCCTCTCCCTCTCCCTCCCTCCCTCCCTCCCTCCCTCCCTTTCCCTTTCTTTCCCTTCTCCCTCTACTCTTCCCCCCTTTTCACAGCTAATTTCCCTCGTCACACCGCTCGTCAACAACAAATAACAAAAGATAAAAAAAAAATATTAAAAAAAAAAATCTTAAAAACATCACTTACTTTTTTCTCTCTTTTTCCTCCCCTAGTTGCCGACCTCCTCACCGGGCTGTACCTCCTGGTGGTGGCGGTGAAGGACCAGGAGTTCAGGGCAGAGTACCACGAACACGCTTACTACTGGATGACCTCGTGGGAGTGTACGATTACGGGAGTGCTGGCTATGACTTCGGCTGAGGTCCGTTTTCAAGCTGTGTTTTTTCTATTTGATGTTTTATTTTTTTTTTTTTTTTTATTTTTTGTTATTATTTAGCTATTTTAACTTCGGCTTAGGTCCGTTTCCAAGCTGTTTTTGTGTTTATTTTGTTTATTGTTGTTTTATTTTATTTTTTATTTTATTATTATTATTATTATTATTATTATTATTATTATTTTTTAGCTGTTTTGACTTTAGCTGAGGTCCGTTTTCAAGATGGTGTTTTTTTTATGTATCTATTTAATTTTTTTTCTTCTTTTTTAGCTAATTTACTTCGGCTGAAGTCTGTTTTCAAGCTTTTTGTTTGTTTTTTATTTCTTTATATATCTATTTGATTTTTTTCTTTAGCTATTTTGACACTTCAGCTAAGGTCAGTTTTCAATCTAGTGGTTTTGCGATACTTTTTTATTCATCATTTTATTTATCTATTTTATTCTTTAGCTGCTTTCACTTCAGCTGAGAATGGTTTCGATTCGGTGGTTTTTGGATATTTCGGATTTTAAATCTTTATTTATCTATAGATTTCCATACCGGAAGGGATTTATTTCAATGTGGTATTTTTTGAGTTTTCGAATTTTTCATCTAAACTTATTCATATATTTCCCTCCCTATTTATTTATTATTTATTTATTTTTCTTGGGGGGGGGGGGTTGCTAACTTTTATGCTCCTTATTTTCTTTTAATTTCCATAGCAAATGTTATTCGTTTTAATGTGATGATTTTTGGATTTTTGCTATCTTTATTCTTAATTATCTATCTTTTCATTTGCATACCGGGTGGATTAGCAATATCGATAAATCAAGGTGAAAGAGAGATAGCAACAGTTGATTTGATATTATCTGAACCGTATTCATGTTGATATATATATATATATATATATATATATATATATATATATAATTATATATATTAATATATATGTATATATATATATATATATATATATATATATATATATATATATATATAATATATATATATATATATATATATATATGTATATATATATATTATATATATATATATATATACATATATATATATATATATATATATATATATATATATAGATATATATATATATATATATATATATATATATATATATATATATATATATAATAGTATATATATATATATATATATATATATATATATATGTATATATATATATATATATATATTATATATATATATATATATATATATATATATATATATATATATATATATATATGTATGTATTTATTTCCGTCGAAGGTCTAAGTACCACTTGTATTGTGAAGATATTCTCATTCATACCTTT